TATTTCACTCTAATTAATTAGGAGGAAAAAATGAAGAAAAAATATGAAATAATAAGATTAGTTAAAAATTAATAAAATTAACAAAGAATGAAAAAATAAGAAATCATAAAAAAAGAAAAAGGAAAACAAATCAAATAAATTAAAAGAACTTTAATGTTTTAAATTAACTTTTATAATTAAAAATATTACAATCTAAAACAAATAAATAGCTTTTATTAAGTGTAAGTTTTGATAGCAAAAAATGAAGAAAATATATCAAAGAATAAAAAATGAATAATAAATAAATATGAAAATTAAGTTAAAATATAAAAAATTTTAGTTTTAATAAAAATCTATAAATAATGATGTTAATTTCTATAATAAAAATTATTTATTTAAATAAATTGAAATTAAATGTACTAAAAATATTAATAATAATAAAAGTAATTTTTTTAATTAAATATACCTAAGATTAATATGGAGAACCTAATGAGATAAAAGTGAAGAGCTTTTAAACTTTTTTTATTAATTTATATAAATTTAAAGGATTTTAATAAAAAAATTAATAATTACTTCTTCTAAATTATTATATTTTTTAATCTATTATATCATTTATTTTTTTTTTCAAAAATATTGAATAGCAATTTATGAAATTTAATTAATTAATTAATAATAAATGGTTAAAAAGAACAAATAAATATAATAATTAATTAATTAATTATCAAATATTAATTTATATATTTGGTTTTATGAAGAGATATCTCAGAAAATTAATTTAACATTCACTATTTAAACTTAATATATTAAATCTTTGATTAAACATTTTTTATTTTTTTCTTCTATCAGGTTCGAAACCTCTTTCGATACCTTTTTTTATTATTTTAAATATACATTTAATTTTTTAAATAATATTTATTATTCTACTAAATATTTATTTCCTACTACAGAAATAATTATCAGAGAATAGCAATAAAGATAAAATAAAAAGTAAAACTTGATTTCTCCCTGAAGTTTTATTTAAATCATGGCATATAATTAATCATGATAAATAAAAAAAGGATAGAAATATGATTGATGGATAATATTTGAGATTAAAATAAAACTGGCATATAAAAGTTTGGAATATATATAATTTAATAAGATGTAATATAACATTAAAAGTTTCAAATTATTTGATCGTTTTAGAGAAACCAGAGGGTTTGCTTAAGAGGATTTAATTTATTTAAGTAAATTTAGTTTTTTATTTTTTTTAAATAATTGATTTACTTATAAAAATATGAATGAAATTTATAAATATAAAATCAATAATAAGATCTATCTATCTATCTATTTATATTTTAGGTTAAAAACACCTTTTCAAAATATTATAAAATAAAATATATAATATTATTCAAACATTTTATATTTATTCATCATTTTTTCACCAGTTGTTTATCATCAGAAATCAAAGACAACTAATCTTTTTGATTTACGACACTTGCTTATTACTTTGAATTTTTATGATTTATCCATTGAGTGAAAACTTTTATAATAAATATGTGTAAATTATTAATAAATATCAAAATAGAATAAACTTTTAAATTATAAATTATTCTTTAAATTAATAAATAAAATAATATTAGTAGAATAAAAAATATAAAAAATTAAAATAAATATAAGCTATCAAATAAATTCAAAGAGCTTTTTTGTTTTATATTCATTTTTATAGTTTAAAATATCACAATCCAAAACAAATAAATTGTTTTTACCTGAGTTTAAGTTTCAAATTTGAGAGATTAACGCAATTTGCTAAACCAACAACTAAGGCTGATGCACCTTCAGCACCAATTGAATTATAACTTTTTAAATATTGAAGAAATAATATATCATTAAATAGTTAATTAGAAGGAAAAAATGAAGAAAAAATATGAAATAATAAGAAATAAATAATAAAAGCAAAAGTTGAAAATAAAATGATGAGCTAAATTAACAAAGAAAGAACAAAAAAAAGCGAGCACAATAAAAAGAAAAAGAAAAAAGAGTTTTATTGTTTTTAATTAGTTTTTATAATAAAACTATCACAATCTAAAACAAACAAACTGTTTTTACTCAAGGTCAAGTGTCAAATTTGAGAGATTAATGCTATTTGCTAAAGCAGAACCTAAGCCTGATGCACCTTCATCACCAATTTAATTATACCTTTTTAAATATTGAAGAAAAAATTTATCATTAAATAGATAATTAGAAGGAAAAAATGAAGAAAAAATATGAAATAATAAGAAACAAATAATAAAAGCAAAAGTTGAAAATAAAATGATGAGCTAATTAACAAAGAAAAAACAAAAAAAAGCAAGCACAATAAAAAGAAAAAGAAAAAAGAGCTTTTTTGTTTTTAATTAGTTTTTATAATTTGAAATATCACAATCCAAAACAAATAAACTGTTTTTACAAAAGGCCAAGTGTCAAATTTGAGAGATTAATGCAATTTGCTAAAGCAGAACCTAAGCCTGATGCACCAATTGCACCAATTTAATTAGACCTTTTTAAATATTGAAGAAAAAATGTATCATTAAATTAATTAGAAGGAAAAAATATGAAATAATAAGAAATAAATAATAAAATCAAAAGTTGAAAATAAAATGATGAGCTAAATTAACAAAGAAAGAACAAAAAAAGCAAGCACAATAAAAAGAAAAAGAAAAAAGAGCTTTATTATTTTTAATTAGTTTTTATAATAAAACTATCACAATCTAAAACAAACAAACTGTTTTTACTCAAGTTAAAGTGTCAAATTTGAGAGATTAATGCAATTTGCTAAACCAGCACCTAAGCCTGATGCACCAATTGCACCAATTTAATTAGACCTTTTTAAATATTGAACAAAAAATATATCATTAAATAGTTAATTAGAAGGAAAAAATGAAGAAAAAATATGAAATAATAAGAAATAAATAATAAAATCAAAAGTTGAAAATAAAATGATGAGCTAAATTAACAAAGAAAGAACAAAAAAAAGCAAGCACAATAAAAAGAAAAAGAAAAAAGAGCTTTTTTGTTTTAATTAGTTTTTATAATTAAAAATATCACAATCCAAAAGAAATAAACTGTTTTTACTAAAGTCAAAGTCTCAAATTTGAGAGATTAATGCAATTTGCTAAAGCAGAACCTAAGTCTGAGCACCTCAGCAC